GCATATAGCCCTGAGTGCCATGGCGCGCTGCGGTCGTCGCAGCAACGCTCTATTCGGGGCACTCAAGGCATCCACCCACACAGGAGCTCCGTAGAGGGCCATCGATCTGATGACTCCCATGTACAGGCGGCGGCAGACCGACCCTGGTCCCCCCACATTAGGCAAGAGGCGTCCAAGAGCAGCGGATGCCTTTAGCAGATTCGGTGTCAGCCGGCGAAAGTGAGCGGCGAACGTCCACCGTCCGTCTAGGACGAGTCCGAGATACTTCATCTCGGACTCGACCCGGACCTCCACTTCTCCGATCCGGAGTGGTGTGCCTGCAGCCAGCCTCCTTCTAGGTCCATGGAAAAATAGGGCCTTGGTTTTCTCAAGGGCCACCCGTAGGCCTTGAGCTTTGATGCGGGACACCACTAGTCCCACACCGACCGCCGCCAGCTGGGTCGCCTCCTGATGCGTCGCGCCGCGGGCAAGAACGAGTGTGTCGTCAGCATAGCAGACAACACGAAGCCCGCGCAGCAGGGCACCACGGAGTACCCTGTCGTAGCCAATGTTCCACAGGAGTGGGCCAAGGACCGATCCCTGTGGAACACCGCACCACGTTTCCCTCTGTACGAGGACGCCATCGCGCCCTACACACACAACGCTCCTTCCCCGTAGGTACGCCACAATAATTGCACGCAGGTACCGGGGGAGTCGGTGGTATCGGAGGCCCTCCTCGATGGTAGCGAACGGCAGGGTATTGAATGCGTTTGCGATGTCAAGAGACACCGCCAACACCACGTTGCCGTTTGCCGCCTGCTCCTCCGCATACCCCTTGACACACAATATGGCGTCTTTTGTGGAGCGCGATGGTCGGAACCCGTACTGGGCGTCGGACAGGTCAGGACCCTCGCGCATCATATGACGTATGATGCGCGAGGCGACCACCCTCTCCAACAGCTTACCGGCCTCGTCCAACAGGATGATTGGCCGGTAAGCCGAGGGCGATTCTTCAGGGCGTCCCTCCTTACGAAGGAGAACAACCCTGCCCGCCTTCCAACACTGCGGGAACTCTCCACGCTGAAGACAAGCGGTGAAAAGCTCCCTCAAGCGTTCCTCTAGGGGCCCCAAGGCCAAGACCAGAGCCCTGCCGGGCACACCATCGGGGCCCGGGGCCGTTTTTGCGCCCACGAAGCCGCAGAAGTGCGGCTCCCATCTCACCCTCGGATACCAGAGGCACCTCCTCTGTGGTTTCCGGCTCAGGCACCGGTGGGATAACGCCAGTTGGGGCCGGGAACAACGCCTCCAGCACCGAGGCCAGCCGTTCCGGTGAAATAGATTCAGCAGGCGGCGGACCCCGACCAAGCTTGCCCCTGGTTGCTCGGTATGGACGACCCCAGGGATCGCGGTCCAAGCCCGCGAGGAGCTCACCCCAGGCAGTGTCTTTGGCCCTCAGGATGGCCAGCTGCAAGGATTTTTTGGCGTCGTGATACGCCCTCTGCAGATGGTTATTCAGTTCCTCATTCCGCGGCCGCCGCCGCCGCTGTCGTTGGAACTTCCGGCGGGCGGCGACACAGCGTCGCCGAAGATCCGCAATGTCAGGTGACCACCAGTACACCTGCCTCTTTTGAGGTCTTTGCCGCACGCGGACCATGCAGGCATCGCAGACCCTGGTGATCGCGCTGCGGAAACACATCGCCTCCTCGTCCGTCGTCCCCGGAGGCGGGGAGCTCCAGGACTCGACGATGGCGGCCTCCTTCAGCAGGTCCAACCCCGCGAGGGCCCATCGCGGAAACGTTGAGGTCATCGCAGGGAAGGCGGGGACCAACTGCATCCCTCTGGAGGAGGAGACGCTGAAGCGGATATATAAGTGATCCGACAGCGTCTCCACCTCCCCCATAACTCGCCAATCTCGTACTGCCTGAGCAACCACCGGGCTCGCAAAGGAAAGGTCTACAATGGACCCCCCTTGGACCCGAACACAGGTTTGTGCTGTGCCGCAGTTGAGAAGTGCCAACCCAGATTCCGTGGCCCAGTCTTCAACCGCAGTCCCCCGCACGTCTGTGGCAGGCGATCCCCAAGCCGTATTCTTCGCATTAAAGTCGCCCGCCACAATTACCGGTCGAGGTGCAACTCGCCTAATGGCCGCCTGCATATCACCGAGGAGCGTCTCGAGCTCAGCGAGGGTTTTGTTTGGGGAAAAATACACCGAGAATATTGTGTATTTCCCCCAGTCGGCCGCCACAAAACCATTTCCCCTCTCTTTGACGGAAAGGGGCGTGGTACCATCTGGAACATAGATGGCCGCCGTGCCCGTAGCATCACCTATCCAGTTGGCGGGTATGCAATAAGGCTCCGCTACCACCGCCAGTCCAATTTGCCATTGCGCCAGTGCCTGGAATAATAGATCCTGGGCACCGGCGCAATGGTTTAGGTTTATCTGGAGGAAATGTCTATCCCTATCCATTATTAGAGTCGACACACATTTCCTCTTGTCGGGACGAATCCCGATCCACCTGCTGGGAGGCCGGGGTCCTGCCGGCTTTTTTTTTTTTTTCCCTTTTTTCGGTGGGGAGCAACCCTTAGCCCCCACCGAGTGCTCAGCTGGCCTACCTGCAACTGCGCATACTGCGCAGTGGGGTTTGGCTAAGCATGCTGCTGCTTTGTGTCCAGGAGCACTGCAGCGATAACAAATATCGCTGCGGTCCACCTCCGAAGTGCACTGGAGTCGCGTGTGCCCGATTTCTAGGCATCGGAAGCACTTCATAGGGCGCGGCTCCAGGGACTCGACGTGCACATAGCTCCAGCCAATCCTCATACTCCGAGCTGACACCAGGACCTTAGCAGCTGCCACTGGACATTGCACCCAGATGCAGCCAGTGCCCCGGCGGCCCTCCCGAATTTCGCCCGCCTTGACGTGGTCAAGGGGACAGGCGGCTGCAGCGACAATCGCAGCGAGCACCTCATCCCTGGTGACGGAATCATCCAGGCCAGTAAGACGCAAATCCGCGCACTTCACCGGCCTGGCGATCCGTGCCTCTCCGGCGAGGACCTCACGGAGCTTCGCGGCGAAACTGTCCGCTGCTTCGCTCGTGACCCCTGCTGGAAGCTCGAGAACTCGAGCTCCCGTGGCTGCCTGCCTTATTTTCAGGCCTGCCGGGATGTTCAAGGCCGTCAGATCTAACCTCTGACGGGCTTTGGTGAGAACATCACTATACGTAACCCCCTTTTCGACGGCATCGTGCTGTAGTGTGATTACTACAGCTGCCGTCGTAGGGGCACGTAGTTTGCGGCCTCTACGCCTCCGCTTCTTTTTATTAGCGGCGGCTGGCGTCGCAGTGGCCACAGCGGGTCTTGATGCCGTACCGGACTTGGGCACCGCAGCGGATCCCGTTGCGACCAATGGGGGCCTCGGCACCGAAATAGATTTCACGGCGGCCGCAGATGGCTTAGGCGTCGCGACGGGCTTAGCCACAGACTTCTTTGGCTTGGTGGAGATGGAAGCCGACATCTGCACGTCAAGCGCGGGCGCTGTCTTCTTTCCCTTCCCCTTTCCCTTCCGTACCACTGCACTCCAAGTCTCTCCCAGAAAGGTAGGGGTGGGATCTGGTGCCGATGAAGGCCCAGGTTCGGCGCTACGCCTATCCGCAGCCAAAGGCGGCCTCAGGCGCTTCTCCGGGAGCAAGCGCTCCTCGAGAGCCTCGAATCGCGCGCTGATCATCGTCCCTACTTGGGATAGTACATCACGCGCGATATGCTCAGCCTGCAGTGTTGGTGCCGGCGTCCGTTCCTGGGCTGGGCGAGCCGCCTTCTCTATACTGAGACGCATGCTAGCAACCTCCTTTTGGAGCGTCGCCACCTCGTCCCGCAGCCGTTTGTTGTCGGCCTGGAGGCGGTGGGTTTCATCAGTCGATGATATGCTCTGTAGAGCGTTCACCGCCTCCCGGATCATCTCAGCCGCTTCCTTAAGGGCTTTTACAAAAGTGCCCTTCAGGTTCTTTGATTTCGTAGCGACTTTGGTGATGACTTTAATGCCATCATCGACCCTCTCAAGCAGGTTCGAAGAAAGGCGAGAGTCGACTACGTCGTCAAAGCCAGCGGGGCGCAATGCTCTATCGAGCCGGCGCCTTTGGATCAGCTCTGGAACCTCCTTCTCCGCCTGGAGCTCCATCTCTGCCCTCCTGGCTTCCATGAGCTCCCGCTTCCCTTTCGCCAGCCCCAAATACTGCCCACTATTGGGCGGGCGGCCTCTACCCCTTTTAGGCACAGGGGTGCCTCTCCTTTTGAACGCCGAAGATTCCGGATGATCATCTGCTTCGGCGTCTGCATCCGAGGCGCGAGTGCGCTTCTTGCGCACTCTCTGGGCCTCTCCGCTACCCATACTGGCGAAGCTAGCGTTGCTAGCTACGCTTTTTTCCAATTCCAGGCTCATTTCAGAGCCAGAATCTGACGCGGATATACCGCCTACCTCCTCTAAACTCCCTACTGTGGTTGATGTCAAAGGGCCATCCTCCTTTCTTTGGGTATCACAGCGTTCGAGCTGTACGCCTAACTCCTTAAGAACGTCATTTCCTTTTAGATTTTTCTTTTCCATTTTTATTCCCACGAGTTGGGACGATATAGATGCACTCCTCGGGTTACGCCCATTCCGGTCGACTAAAAAGTGGAGTGGGGTACATACTGTGGAGGTCCCCAGGTATCCACAGGTTTTAACGAGGTTCTCTCGGGCTTTATAGGGTTTTCCTTCCCGCGGGCCGGCCAATTAAGGCAAGCCCTCCGACCAGCGACACAGAAGCACTCACACATATACACACCCAAACACATACACATACACACACACAAATACCCACACAACATCTCCAACTGGAGCCACCAGGGTCGTTGAAGTGAGTCGCTGGTTGCGGAACGAGGAGTTGGCGAAATCTCCTCCGACGGTGGCGTCAGACGCACTGAGATTAGTCAGCGCGCCGACCCGTCCTCCTAGGCCCTATCCGTTGTGTTCTCTGCTGATGAGAGAATCACACGGAGAGCCCCTCCTTGTGCTGCTCTTCGTCTGGTCCCTCGCTCCGAGCCTGTCCGGTATGGGAGACCCTATCCGGCATAGCCTTGGAGGTCATTAGGACACGCAAGCCCCTCCACCACAACAAGGTGGCAGCACGACGGGGGGAACCCACATCTGCTCCAACCTTAACGCGTGTAGTTGGACTCGTACCAGCGATTCATCCCAATGATACACCCCACGTTAGGGTTCTGGGTTTTTATGTACGTTAAGTAAAAGTAAAGTATCAGCCTATAGATGTCCCACTGCTGAGCAAAGGCCTCCTTTGTACAGAGGGTATCAGGGCATAGTCCACCAAGCGGCCCCACTGCGGATTGGCGGACTTTACATTTATCTTCGTAATATTTTTTTTATTATTATTTCAAAAATATGCAGGTTTCCTCACGATGTTTTCCTTCACCGCTGAGCACGTGATAATTCAGCACTAGAAATTAACAATTTCATTGGTGTGGGCACCGGGGATCGAACTCAGGTTACTCTAAGCCAAAACCACCAAAGATTTATTCCTGGACAAAGATGTTGTTTTGCGGGATCGACTGCGTTTGTGTAACGCTGCCAAAGATTGTTAAATACATTTAGGCTTACACCAAAAGCCTGCGCCACCTCTGGTTAATTGCTTTCAATTTCCGCTCTTTGCATTTCATCCCTTGTTAAATGTCACACTGTCAATGTCAATATATTTTAAGGCTAAAAACAATAAATTTTGTTAAAGTTAAAAATAGTCGTAATCCTCAAATCCTCCTCAAAGAAAAAATCCACCAAAATGAAATAAAGGAATTTTCTTTTTAAAATCAGCCAGTAACTATTTTCAGATTAAAACCTTTGCATATGGCATTTAAAAAAATAATTCACTGTTTAAGCAAATATCTCAATATTTTATCATGTTTTTAGGATTGATATTTATTTTTGTTCATTTATCTACAAAATATCAGAGACTAGCACTAAAAATAATTATTAATCCTAATAATTTGAAGAGGATAGACGACATTTCTGTTTCCAAATGTTCATCGTTATCTGAAATATAACCTAAATAAAAAGACCCTAAACATTAAATAATAACGAGACCAAAAACTTTATGCTGCCTTTTATATCATGAAAGTAACACGGAACGTAGTTGAATATTTGAAGCGAGCTAGCTAGTCACGTCGCTCCCATTTATTTCAATGTCCGCTATTTCTACAAGCCAAGGCTGTAACTATCCTTTTAAAATACGTGTCATTAATAAAGTATTTCTTTATTAATTTCCCGTACAATCCTTTAAAAGTTTATTAAAAGAAAAAATATTGAAAGTAATGCACGCTAATATATATTGAAAACTTATTTTAATGTGCAAAAGCATTTGTTTTCTACTAAATTCAATCATTTAAATCAAATTCAAAACAGCTAACATTCCGTACCTAACAAAATAACTTGAAAGCTCTTACCGTACCGGGGAAATTGGTTATAATCGATACCTGAACAAAAAACGATGGAAGAATAAATATGGTACGATATTGTAGAAAAACATTTCTTCCGTAGAAATATATTACTCGATAAAAGCTGAACGTGATCATTAAAAAATATTATTAAACTAGAACTTTAACGCGCCTTAATATAATTGTTTCGAACAAAATTTAGTAATTTGGTAGATTTATGGAGGATAAAAAGACATAAATAAAAAAAAATAATTTTAAACTTAAGCCAACATCAACAATTTTTATACTATTATATTATGTGATCGTTATTCTAAAACTTTGACGAATAGACAAGTATATAATCAAAGTACAAAAAATATCTATTTCTCAAATACAGTAATCAGTAATATAGGTGATTCTGCTTTTAAAAATTTTATATTGGTGTTTAAAATTAGTCGTGCAAAAAAAGAGAACTGATATATCTCAGGACTAACATACGGGTCAGTCGTTCTCATGCCTACAAAAGTGAGCAAGCTACAGCTGCACGACAGCGTTCAGCATGCCGTAGTGGCGGTATCCCGGCACACGGTCAGCTGTGTTTACTACACAGACTACTGCGACGGCATCAAACTGCAAGATAAGAGACTACAACCTTAAAATGGCAATTAGGAACAGAGACGCAGCGGTCGCAGAGAGACTAGCAAAAAAAAAATAACACCTATTACCAAATAACCTGCGACGATGAGATCTCCGTCCATTCTATTTCCCTAAAGCAAAAATTGTGCAAATCAAAAAAATATATATATATTAATTATTTTATATATATATATATGTATGAAATAATAATAATAATAATAATAAAAAAAATATATCTTCTAATATATAAAATTCTCGTGTCACGGGGTTCGAACTTGAACTCCTCCGAAACGGCTCGACCGATTTTTACCAAATTTTATATGCGTATTCAGTAGGTCTGAGAATCGGCCAACATTTATTTTTCATCCCCCTAAATGTTAAGGGTAGTCCACCCCTAAATTTTATTTTTTATTTTTTAGGCAAAATTTTTTGTTTTTATTTTTTTATGACACAGCATACAAAAATACATACAACCCTAAATTTTCACCCCTCTACGCAGACGTGGTCGCGGGCAGCAGCTAGTATATAATATATATATAAATATGAACTCACTGCTGCACCGCTACCAGCCCGGTTGATGTACGCGGCGGTGACAGCCCAAAAATGTTGTAGGTAGTCTTAGGAAATAATATCATAGTCTTAGCGGAAGTAAAGATAATCTACCCTCCTAAGATAATGTGTACAATTACGAAGTACAAATGTATGTGTAAAATAAACAGTCGTAACATAGATGCCGTTTTACTTGTACCTTATATTACTACATGGTGTCAGGTGTGGCAGATTAGTGTCAAAGTCAGTTGGTGTGCAATTTTAGTTACAATTGAGAGAATTAGACAATTTGGTGTTGTTACGAAAAAAAAAATTGTGAAGGATGCCTAACAATAAAGATGAAAGTTTGTCGTATACTTCAATACAACAACCGTTGCCTTTAGCTCGGGAAGGCAACATAGCAACAAATTGGCGGGAATGGAAATCGGCCTTTGACTATTTTCTAATCGCTTCTGGAAGAGAGACGGCCCCAGCAAGAGAGAAGTGTGCACTATTTATGCATGTTATCGGAAAACACGGTCGTGATATTTATGAGGAGTTAGACATAAATGAAACGGAAAAGTATGATTTTAAAATATTATGTCAAAAATTTAACGAGCATTGCGATCCAAAAATAAATATTAACTACGAAAGGCATATATTTTTTGAAAGTTACCAGAATGATCAGTGTTTCGATAAATTCTTAGGCTTTCGCGGGAGATAAGGGTTATGAGGATTACGGTGAGGACAGTGAGGCAGACAATGGTGAGTTACTAATGTATAATATATCTATCGAGGCTTCAGACTGTGGCAACAAATCGTGGTATGCTGATATTATAGTTGATGGTGTGGTAGTAAAATTTAAATTGGACAGCGGTGCGGACGCTTCGGTAATGTCACTAGAGTGTTATAAAATGGTTGGCTTTAGTGTAAATAATTTAAAAAAATGTAATACTGTATTGCGAGAAATAAGTAAAAAAAGTTTACCCGTTGTTGGTTATTTCAATGCTTTATTGCAACATGGAGAATATTATAGTAATGAGAATATTTATGTATTAAATGTAAATTGCAACAACTTATTGAGTTTAAAGTCATGTATTAATTTAAAACTTTTGGCTAGAATTAATAATTTAACATTGTGCAACATAAATATAGATGAAGAAGTTTTTGAAGGTCTTGGTTGCTTACCGTTTGTATGTAATATAAAAACAGACCCGCGCATCCCGCCGGTAGTAAATGGTGCAAGAAAAATACCAATAAAATTACCTCCTAGATTAAAAGTTGAATTGAATAATATGGTGAAGATGGGTGTTATTAAAAAGGAGGACGGTCCTACAGATTGGGTTTCTAACATTGTAGTTATTGAGAAGCCTGATAAGTCGTTGCGCATTTGCTTAGATCCTAAGAATTTAAATAAGGCGGTCAAACGGAGCCATTTTCAATTACCTACGTTAGAAGAGATTACTAGCAATCTATCGGGAGCTAAGGTATTCTCTAAATGTGATGCAAAGAAAGGTTTTTATATGATGCGTTTAAATGAAGAAAGTAGTAAGCTATGTACTTTTTCTACGCCCTTCGGCAGATATAGATTTTTACGAATGCCGTTTGGGATTAATTGTGCGCCAGAAATGTTCCATAATGAAATGTGCAAGATTTTTAAAATGACAGGAGTAGAAGTTTTCTGTGATGATTTATTGATATGGGGTCAAAACCAAAAAGAGCATGATAAACGACTGGCACAGGTTATGTGTAAGGCGAAAGAAAACGGGGTCAAATTTAACAAACAAAAATGTGTATTTAGTGTAAAAGAAATTACGTTCATGGGCCATACATTCAATGGGAACGGTATTAGGCCAAACAATAGCAGAGTGGATGCAATTTTAAAAATGGCAAGACCGACAGACAAAAAGGGAGTAGAGAGATTTCTGGGAGTCACCAATTATTTGTCCAAGTTTATTCCAAATTACTCAAAGATATCAACGCCATTAAGAGAATTATTAAATAAAAATATAGAGTTTAGTTGGTTAAAAGTACATGAACAAGCTTTCAATGTCCTTAAGTCTAAAATCAGTAGGGCCCCAGTTCTAAACTATTATTCACCAAGTGTACCAGTTACAGTGTCAGTTGACGCAAGCGCCCATGGTCTGGGTGCCTGCCTTCTGCAAGAAGGTCGACCTGTGGCGTATGCATCGCGCACGCTCACACCGACGGAGACACGTTGGGCTCAAATTGAGAAAGAGCTACTTGCCGTGGTTTTTGGATGTACAAGATTCCATCAGTATATTTATGGACATGATAAAGTTACTGTAGAAAGCGACCATAAGCCACTAGAAGCAATTCTTAAAAAACCGCTGAATGAAACTCCAGCTAGACTTCAGCGTCTGTTATTAGAGTTACAGCATTATGCTGTTGATTTGCAATACAAGCCTGGAAAACTACTATTTATCGCGGACACTTTATCAAGAGCAGCTACTCAAAAAGGTAAGGATGATTTAGGTAATGAAGTTATGATTCACGAAAATATGACCTATGGAAACGCTGAAGCATCTGCTGAAATGTTGCAAACAAT